TATTTATTTATTTATTTATTTATAAATTGGTTTCTTCCTTCTCTAGCGCTAATTAGCTGGTCGCAGCTTGGCTGTAGATACTGACTAGATATTGACTAGTCTGCTAAATGCGTGTTCCTAATTTCCCAGTTTGTTGCTAGTTTGGGTGTAGTACTGTTTAAAATTAGATTTATTGCTTGCCAGTCTTATTACTTAGCCTGTTCAGAAAATGAAGAGTTGAAAGGTTTTTTGACAAATTTATATTTAGTGAGTCATCTTTATATGGTATTTTTTCGTGCAGAAGATGTAAACAACTGGTCAGCTAAAAAATTAGCAGGATTTTTGAGTGTTCAAGTATGCCGCACCTTATTTAAATTACGTCAGTATCTCGTACTGTGGTATTTTAGATAAAAGATACACTTAATTTTTTAAACTTTCTGTGGCTCACAAGCTATGGACAGTCTTAGAAACGAGTCTGCAAGCAGTTAGCAGCAGGTAATATTTATGGGTTGAAATCCACATTTTTACACAATTTAGTCAACACGAGTGTTTTCATAATTGTTTTTATTTCTAGGAATAATCTGTTGTAATCACTTAAAGGCAAATGTTTGAAGAAGTGGACAAAAACATTTTTGTTCTGTTGAATTTTCTTTTATTTTGGTTTTTATTTATTTGTTTTGCACGTATTTCTTGATTTTTGTAAGGTTTTGCTTTATCTTTTGCCTAACTTGGCAAGACATTTATTGAAAAGTAAAAAAACTGCTTCAAAGGTAAAATGGCATTGGATTATCAATTATAAGTTTTGTTCAGAGCTTGATCTAAGCTTGATTGTTGCAGTAGTCGGGCCCTTGATATAAACTGGTAAAAGCAAAGAAGGTAGATTTGGCCACAGTTGAACTAAATCATTACCACTTGAAATACGGGGCTATCTTTGTCAAAAAATATATTTAGATTGTCAAGTAATATTTGAAATTGAATTTTTTATAAAAATAAAGAGGAAATACAAGTGTAAAAGAAGTTAAAAAAAAACAGAATGGCAAGTTTTTCAAAATTTTTTTATTTTGGTAGCTATATAAACTTATCTTAACCGCACTGCCACAGTTTTCCGAAACCGCTTTGTGATTATTGAATACTTACTAGTTTATAAATTATCTGAATTCGATATGGGCCAATTTATTTAATAATATTTCTCACTGGAAAGGGTCATATAGTTCTGGTTGACCGTAATAATGGGATGCCAAAAAGCATTAATAGAATGCTAAAAATTCTGATACAAAATTTTGAAAATATAAATGGCCGATTAGGTATTCTCCCACAGTCATAGAATTATCCCAAATAGTATCACATCTGGTCATAAAACTTTACCAAACTAACACCTAAAAAAACGCAATTTTCTCATATGGCTCAACTATAGTAGACTCTATTGTTCTACCGACTGCACAACTTTTTGGTGGTAATCTCACCGAAGAATTTCGCCACAGTCTTGAGCTTTTGGAAAACCTAGGCGTGCTGTCTACATCATTTTGGGTAGGCAGGTCTCCTCTACTTGGTACTCGTCGTTGTCATTTTATTGCTAAAATTGGTTTTGACCCTGAATTTGCTTATGACATTGATTTTGCGAAAGTCTTTTATTATAAATTTTTTGGTCAAAATGGTATTTGTTTAATATTTGTTGAGAAACTACTGAAATAATGGTTCAAGAAGGCTTTTCTATTTTCTAATTTGTTCACCACTTTTGTTTTTATTTTATTTCTTATAAAGCATTTGTTACTGTTCTTTTCTTCTGTCCAAAAGCTATTCTGTTTCACGATCAAAAAAACTGGTGTTATTAAGGAAAGTGATTCGAACTTAACTCTCAGACTGCTCTGCTGAACAGACACTTTTTTTTTTGGATTGATACTTGTTGATTGTTGTAGTGCTGAGTATAAACTTTTCAGATAAAGGAAAAATATACAGTGGGTTACCGCAGGGGTAATTGAATAGAACACTTCTTTTTGAACAAACTTCATTCTTCACCAGAATAATTCGGCAAAGTCAGTGTTGTTTGAAACATCTTGTTTTTATGGTGTTCACTTTTAACATTGCTTCCTATAGATGTTTTGGTTCTGAGCAGCCTGTGTAAAACCTTTTTAACCAGGTTTTTCATTAATTTCATACAATATTTTTTCTTACTTGTGCATAATAAAATGTTGGAGAATTTATTTTTACATCATTACCCACTTAGTAAATACTAAACTTTTATCAAAAATCATCTAATCTTTTTCAGAATGTTCCAAATGTGTCTAGCAGTTCTTGTTGTGCAAATCCGGCTAGTTGACGCAAATTTTTTGGCAGCCGAGTTAGCAGACTTTAAATGGGACTCTGGCTGTTTAGTAGTCAAAGATTGCTGGTTTCCCCAGTTCAGAATTAAAGGCTTTAACTATTCAACTAAAGAAACTTTGAGTGGAACCTGGTTTTTGAGAAATGGTAGCAGTAAGGTAGAACTTTGATCCCCTACTGTCAATTTTTCTTTTTCGCTGAGTTACGCTACCCGCAGTCGATCCTAAAATTAATGTTTCTTCTACCTTATGATTTCAGAGTTTTTCAAGTCCGCGTTTCAAATACTGTGGACCTGCAAGCATCAAAAGCTTCAGAATCGCTGCTGATATCGTTGAAACTGGTATAAATCGTCTCTGTGACAGCTCTACAGTCATTGGCGATAATTTGGTTGGTAAACGAATGTCGCGTTGAAAAAATCAAGAACTGACGGAGACTGTTTAAAATTTGAATTTCTTTTACTAATAACCTTTACAAAACTGCTGCTGAGGCACTTTAGCATGCAATATTTTGAGTTATCTCTATCGCGTAGTAAAGTACTTGTCTTTCGGTATTAATTTCAAGAAATTCTTAAATGCTAGTGTAACAAGTATTGATAATATAGCCAATAATTCTGCTTTTGAAGCAGCAAGTGCTTGGCTTTCCGCCACGTTCGCTGGAGAAATCCTTCAGCTTGGATGGAGCATGTTTCAAAGCAACTATTGTAATTCGTATGTATCCAAAAGAGTGTCCTTTGTCTGAAACGTTTGTAGAAGGATCTTTGAGTACACCCCGAGTAAAATCTTCTTCAGTATCTTTTGTAAATCCTAGATTTTTTGCAAATTTCTATGGTCATTTGACTGTCTCATCACTTAAAATTATTGAATTCCAGTCATTCAACGAACTTGGAAGAAATAAATGGTCAAGCACTAACGAACGAACAACACTGCTCATTTGCGCTGTACTTCTAGGTACATTGGCGCTAATGACTAGTATCGGATTCCTTTGCTTACTTTGCGCATTCATCAGGATAAGAAAAACACGTCGAACAGATGTCGACATCTGTAACTCACTTTCAAGCCTTCGTTCATTTACCTTGTTACCAGTTGTGCATAACAGGTTAAACCTTTGTCTTCTGAATTGATAATTTTATGAAAGAAAAACCGACACTTCTGATCTTTTGAACGAGTGGTTATTTTATGTGATAAATATTTGCTATAGGAAAATAGAGTTACCTTTTAAAGAAGCTCAAGAACTGCAAGAATGAAGTCTGTTGAACAGTGGTGTAGCGAGAGTGGTATTTCAACGATGTCATCACCAGTCAGCGAAATTTTTGAAATTGTAAACAGAAGCAAAATTCTTTTGCATTTTAATTCCTGTTACAAGAATCGAACTTACGAAAACATTTGTCCAGAAAATCCGTCTTTGACCACTAGAGCAAAGAAGCATTCACGCAAAGAAAAGTGGGTTAACCCAACTTTACTGCATTAATCGCATATCAATTTGTTGATCTCCCTAGAGCGAGTTGAATGGTTAGATCTCTGAATTAAAACAGTCTAGGTGCCGGCCATTCGCTCGAAATGATGATTCAAGTGTTCACTGGAGTAGTGAAGATGACTCGGTAATATCAACATCTACGCCACGCAATAATTCTTTTAATTCAACGGTTACTCAGTTGTCGTTTGACCTTCTAAAAGCCATCAGCAAAGATGCTTCTCAGCTTGAAGAACAACAAGCAAAAATTTCTATGGAAAGCCCCAAATTCAAAAATACCAATGTTGAGTAAGCTTAAATTGTTATTGGTAGAATTCTAAGATTATCAAAAAATTAGTACCGTTCCAAACAGATAGTTACTTCAAGTTAACAATACGGTTTGAAGTCGATCAGATGTATATAGTTTTTCTGTCATCCTTTTTCCAATCTAATAACAGTGTTTATTTATTAAATTAGTTAACTGCCATAGTAACTTGATACAAAATAGTAGATGGAATGTTTGAATGTCCTTAGTTGGCGTCTTAATGTTCTTTCGTAGTAGACCTAAATATATTTAAACTGTTGGAGTTTAAATGTACCAAAAATTTTTTTGTAGGTGGTCTTTTTCTCCTCATAATTCTAACACGGGGAGGAAATTCCAACAGAAAGCCGTAAGTCTCATACCCTTAGGTCTTCAATAACAAACCGTTAAATTGTAGCTCTCACTGCTGAACAGTAGTAAAGTCACAACTAATCACTCCTTTAATTTCATGTTTGAATTCTGGCAAAAGCTATATGTATATAGATGTCGTCATTTCCAATTTGGTGTGAAAATTTTTGGGAGCAGAGAAGTCTTCTTGTGGAGGAACTTTAACAGTTTTGGCTTAATGCCGCTGTGTATTAAAGAAGCAGCCGGGAGCTACCCGACTTACCTCCGTAAAGGTGTCATTAAGTTTTACTTCAGTTGTGTGTATGATGCGTTGTTAATGTCATTTTGTTTGTGGATGTTCATCCTTTTTTATTCCAAATTTCTCGTTTTTTTGTCCTTTTTCTGCTCAGATATTGCCGGTTATGTCGGAGGACTTTTATTTTCAAATGTTAATTTGTAACTTATTAACTGTTGTAATTTTGTTTTTATTCAAAAAAATTTTTTACTTTTTTGTTGCTATAAGGGGTAAGTATCGTAGATAATAAATATCTTTGAAAAAAGTGGGTTTTGCCGAGCAATAATGTAGAAAAAACGGTTTTAATGAAATAACTAAAGAAACGCGATTTTATAATAAATGAAAAAAGCATAAAGTTGCTTTGAGGGCAATTTTTGGCAAAGGAAAAGGAAGAAAAGGTAACACAGTTGTCATGCACATTTCTTATATCGAGATTCTAATACAGCAATGACCTAGTACCAACAAATTTTCTAAAAGTAATATTATTTTTTCGGGTGGAACTAGTTGCCGTAGTACTGTAGTAAAGTTGCATTATGAATATATAGTATATGGTATATTATATATTATACATTATTATACATAATATACAATATATAATATACAATGTATGATACTTAATATATAATATATAGTATATAAAGGGCCGTTCAATGCCAAAAGTTGCAAAATTCGCCAGTTTGTTACTTGACATGCCTATCTTTGCAGACTTGTAACTTAGCTTGTTTTGAATAGAATTTAATCACGTATCATACATTATAAGGAAA